CTGTCGCTCCTGCTGCTCCCTTCAGCAGTGTATTTCGGTCAGTCTGCCTGTTCTGCTCCCCATTCTGTCTCTGGTGAATCCTCTCACCGTCCCGCGCCTCTGGCCTGTATTCCAGCTCTTGTATAAAAATAAATAAATCTTTTTTTTTTTTTTTAAAAAGGCTCTCTTTGCTTCTCAAATTATCATGGCTACTTTGATGCAAAATTCTTACAACTAACAACAAGTATGAGAATACTCATCAGCTCATAGTCCCGTATTACTGAGGTTGTATATATTTAAGCCATCTCAAAGACATTTTTTTTTTTAAATAGAGGCATGTTTTTTATTTATTTATTTGTTTGTTTTGTTTATACATGCACTGGGTACAGTCAGAAGCGCGGGAGGGTGAGAGAATTCACCAGAGCCAGAGCAGGGAGCAGAGCAGGCAGAAGGACCGAAGTACACTGCTGAGGGGAGCAGCGGGCGGCAGGAGAGTTCTGCGCGCCATATGGGACCCTCCTCCGGTGGCCGGGGAGCAGCCGGGGATTGAACCGGCGCTGCAGAAGCTGCGGGCAGTTTCGCAACCCAGCGCTCAACCACTGCACCACCGGGGAGGCCCCTCAAAGACATTTTGTAATAGTGCACAAAATTACTACAATGTGCTGATACTAATGCTACGATCCATGGTTGTGTATTCTGTGCGCACACACACAATCACACTCATCTACATTTAGAAAGATGGGTAGAGAGACTCCACTACTCTGTGTCATTTCCTGTTCTGATGAAGTGCCCATAAGAGCATACTGATTTGGTCTTTGGGGAGCAACATAAACACACTCAGGGTGATGCTCTATTTGGCAGTAAATGGCAGCCAGGAACCCTAAAATCTGTAGTGTAACCAGGTGAGGTTAAGAACTTTTTACTATAAAGTAAGTCTATATAATTCGTCACATTATTAGGCCCAAACCCCTAAAGCATCATGCTCAAGAGAATTTAGGGGACAGTGGAAGGTAAATACGGGAACAGGCACCCTCGATGGGCCACTTGCTCTTTCACAGACTGGAATTAAGAATCTGACTGCGCTTTTGATGTTTTACTCCGATAGTTTTTAAGCCTCACCCCACCTCTGTGCCCACATCTGGGCAAGATGATAAGAAATCCCGAGCTTTTGGCACCAGCTGGAGATGGAAACCACAAGATCCTGCCTCATGTGGGAGACCTCAGCCTGCTCCACCTCCTAACCACACAGAACCCCAGGCCTTTCCTGGCTCTCTTGAGTAACTTTTGGACCAATTTGGGTGGCCTGCCATGCACCAAACCCTAATTCTAATAAACATTTTCATGCCCTTTTGGTCTGTGAATCGTGCCCTGAGTCTCTGCATTTGTATCTTGCTGACGGGGCGGGTACAACACTCTCCGAAGCATTACACATGTGCTTCCCATTTCACCGTGGAGGTTGCTGAGAAAAAGGACAGCAGACCTCAGGTCACACAGTGAGAAGCAGAGCTGGGACCCACGCACGGCTCTGTGCACTGGACATGATCCGGACCATGCCATGCCCATCAAGCCTCCATGAGCTTGGCGATCAGCAGCACCCACATCGTGCTGCTCACAAAGATGTCTTTATAACGGAACGTGCATTCTGAAAACACTGAAGGGACTTTAAGAGGCTGTTTCAAAATAGCACAGAACATCCGAGCCTTAGTTATCTGGCTTGGGCTACCACTGGGCAGCCTGATATGTTGGACAGTGATGTTAGGATGCAGCTCTAGAAAGCTCAAGCCAGTCAATTTGGCACTGAAAAGTCATCTCCGGAATGTCTCCTTTTGACCCCCTCCTGGTATTGGGTGGCCACGGCAATCAGGGAGCTGTATCTAGATAAAGAAACAGAAGACCGAGTTTCAAATGTCTTTCCAAAAGAGAAGGATGACCCACAAGTGAAAGAATGTGGCACATAGTTACAAGGTTGACTCGCTGTTCTGGAAGTATCCCATGGGGGAAGAATCATCACGGAGCCTTCCTGGAATCCTGGCAGTAGAAGGAGGTAAACTATGAGGGATCCTCTATGAATAGAACCAAAGGAGTTAAAAAATGCATGCAAAGGAGAGAACAGTCACGGCTGAATTACCTCTGCATCATTTACCCTAATGTAACATATAAGCCCGAAGTATGTCCTTTTTCCTGTCACATCCATTGAGATGTGATAAAGGTCAATTAAAGGCACTTTAAAAAAGATTGAAGAAAAGGCCCACACATGCAAGGCAAAACAGAATATCAAAATAATCATTTTTGAGGTATTCGATATCTTACTATTTTCAGATAGGCAAAGCTCTTTACATTCATCTTCTCATTTAACCCTGCTAATAATCTCTGGAGGAAATAGCACGTCCCTTAATAGGCAAACCAACTGCGACTCAGAGATGTGCGGTTTTATCCAAGGCCATGCACCCCATCATTAGTCAGGTCCCAATCCAGACCTGACTCTGAGCCCCCTCTAGCCTGCCTCTACTATGCTGCCTACTGATTACCGCCCCAACCTGCTGTGGAAATCACACTGTTATTTGAGCATCCAACTTCATTCTCCACCCGCCTCCTAGGCCCCAGTCAGTTGATTTAAGACAAATGGTTCCATGTATTAGCTTATGAGTAAGTGGCAACTCCTACATAGACCACTGACACATTCATTTCCAAATATTTCTAAAACTGTTTTATATACACCAATCACTCATCCACCTTTGTGAGTTTTTTCTTATCTATTTAATTTTTCCTTAAATTTAACCCAATTCTTTTTACTTTAGCTTCTTCTTAAGTTGTAATATTAATGAAATTTCAGTTTTGATAAGCTACTTATATTTTTCTAAGAAACAATCATTAAGATAAAAATATCCACCCAGTTCCACAGAGACTCACATCCCAGTATTTGGGAGATACTACTCTTGAACTTGAAAGCAGAGAATTGAAATGCCTCCCTCAGAGTAGACCTTTTCATCAGGAATACCATCCCTGCTCCCCAGAGTAGATTTTTTGTTTGTTTCAGCCTCATACAAATAATCACAAGATGCCTCCCTCCCCAGTTCCAGAATCTAAAGCCTTCTCCTTTCACTTGGTAGAATGTACCAGGACCCTGAGACTGTCCTTTTCTAACCTCTACCTGCCCGGCTCAGCGTCCTCATGCCTGTTGCTGGATTTGCCTGTCTCCTGCTTCTCTCCCAACCCAAGCAGGGTTCCCAACTCAGGGATCATTCATCTCTTTTCTCATCTTCAAAAATCTCCTTTTTCATGGAGCCATTTTTTTAGGGTATAGCACCATTTACTTATCTCCACCACGCCACATATGGAATAAGTTAACACAACACTTCTCCCAGGTCTGTGATGAAACAGTCCTTCCACCATCACATCAGGTACATGCTGTTCCCTCTCTGCACACACTGATCCTGTCTCCTCCAGGTGTCCTGAGCCCCCTGATGACTTTGCTGAGCCTGGAATCTCACCACTGTACAATCCCTGTAATAGATCAGTTTGGATCTATTACAAAAGTATTATTATTTTTTTTTTTTACAATACTACCTCCTGTCTCATTATCCTAAAGACAATGCACTATTGGTGAAAAGTCATCATTCTGTTCACTGTTTTAAAAATACTTTGTTATCATTAAGAACTTATTGAGATATTTTCCCAGTATTACATCACTGCCAATAAGCAAAACTATGCATGTGAATAACTTTGTTTTGGTGATTAAAGCACAGCACTGGGAATCCCACACACCAAAGTTTTGATGTTTCAAGACCAGAAGAAGGATGGATGGAAGAATTTAATGTTGTGACTAACAAGGACTTCACGTGTGTCACTCACCTGGGTCCTCCTAAACTCATGCAATTAAATAAGTTTAACTCTTTCAATAGATAACTTTCTCAGGTGGAGTCAAGGAATAGGCATCAGTCAATTACATTTTAGTGTGAATAAATCATACTAGCTTTATCGCCTTTAAATTTTGGAGAATAAAATTTTTAAAAATACTTTAAAATGAATACTTTAAAATCTGGGACCTGCTCTAAAACAGTCAGGTGAAGGTCAAGAAAATTTTACATTTGTTCTAAGGGAATGTAATAATGTTGAGTCGGCTGTCCAATGCAGTTGGGGGAAACTGGATCCAGTACGGCGGTCTTGAGCTTTAGATTTGCCTTTATTTATGTATTTGGGCCTCCGCAGCTGCCTCCACACCTCACCCAGGAACTGCTGGTATGTTCGCTCCCTCCTCTTCCTTGTCCACATGTGTTTTGGTTTTTGTTTTGTTTCTGCATTGCTGCTAAAAGAACATCCATGAGGGGCGAGAGCGGGCTGAGCAGAAGGAGCTGGATTTGGCCCAAAACATTTGACTATTTCTTGGCATCTGAGAAAGAATGAAACTTTTTATTATTTAGAATACTAATGTTCTGGCTGTTCCCTGCACATAGGCTGCTTTCAGCAGCTGTGTGTCCCGGGAGCCCCTGTGTTACTGGGGGAACACTCTAAATGTGTCCTATCACCTCTTCATCAAAGAACTCAGAAACCGTCTATCAGATGTTTTCTTCTAAGCTAAAAATGGACATGTTAGGAATTGTTTAACTTGCTCAGGCAATTCTTTCACTACATAGAAAGGCTCCCCCAATCTTCACAATTGTCAAGTTGATTCTTTTCCCTCACATACCAACTTGGAGAAATGTTGGCAAAATATGTCTTATTTCTAGAGTCCTCTGTCTGAAAATTGTAAGCTTAAATGGGAACTGGTAAGTGTGTGGCAATGTTCTTCATGGATATAATTGAAAAAATACCTATTTATTTATATATTTTTCCAAGACAAATCTCACATTTTAAAGTTTGAATACATTTTTCAACATGATGGGAGTAATCAGAAATAACTGAACCCAAATTCTTGTACTCTGGTAAGAGCAAAAGGGTGGCCAACATCTGTCCATTGAAGTGTGATGTAATAATGACAGCTCTCCATCAACATGTGCTATTGCATCAGAAGTCTTCCCAGATGTTACTCTGATAGAAAGTAAATGCTCCTTCATAGTCTTCCACATCTAAGTATGAAGATATTGGTATTTTTGGAGCTCATATTCTATGCCTGGAACTGTGTTGACACTGGGGACAGACGAGGAAATAAGACATAGCTCATATTCTTAATAAGCTCTCTATGGCCAGCAGATACAGAGGTCTGATGTCCACCAAGTCAGTGCTTTCCACAAACAAGTACCGAGGGCAGCCCACAGGGTGGGCTGGGATGGGCGGGAGAGCAGGGACAGGATGTGCACCCTACAGGTGCCCTCCTCCTCCTATTAGGTGAACCCCATAGCCAGTGCTGGCAGGCTTGTGTAAAGACCACTGGTGGGAAAAACATAAGCAAGCCCGAGCCATTCTTCATCTTGCTTTTTCCAGAAGTCTTGCCTAAAGTGAAGGAAGCAGATGGCATCCATTTTCTCGGTGATCACTGGCAACACTGCTGCTGGAAGAAATACCAGAATATTGATCAAGCCTTTGCCTTTAGTTCCTCAAGCCTGTTTCCCAGAGTATCTGACGTACTGGAGGGAAGAATTACTGGGAGATGTTCCTGAGAATTGTTTCTTTGATCCACCACAGTTCCTCAGGGAGGTTCTCAGTAAACGGGTAAGATAGCTTTCCTTTCTTGGTCTCAGTATCTCATGCTGGAATTGCATTTCTCAAAGGATGAAGCACCTAGGATGGACTTTATTAAAAATAAAGATTCCTGGACACATCCAAATTTTTTCATACAGAACCTCTAGGAGTAGTCCTGGAATCTACTATTTTGACATTCTTCATGGTCATTCTGTGGCAGGAGAAAAGGCTGGGAAAAGGACCCTAAGGAGTAGCATGTAGACTCGGATCAGGTTTAAGGAACTCAGTGAATATTCAATACTTATCAGGGAATGAAGATGGTCTGAGGAATCCCTCATTCCCATAATTTAGGAGGACCCAGGTGAGTGACATACATGAAGTCCTTGTTAGTCACACCGCTGAATTCTTCAATAACCAAATACTCATTCAATTAAATAAGTTTAACTCTTTTAATAGATAACTTTTTCAGGTGGATTCAAGGACTAGGCATCAGTCAATTGCACTTTGGTGTGAATAAATCATACTAGCTCTATCTCCTTTAAATGGAGAACAGAATTAAAAAAAAAAAACTTTAGAAAACGGGAGGGTTAGCCCACTGAGTGTATCTCCCATAACTCAAGTAAAAATGTATGTATATTCCTAACCTCAGGCCACCCCCGTAGTGAAGCAACAGTATCCGGTTACTAATCGAGGTGTTTCCGTTAAGTGTTTTCAATATGTAGCTAAATAAATTAACTTCAAGTGAAGGAGATTACTTTTGAAAATCTGCGTGGGCCTTATCAAATCAGTTGAAAGACCTTAAGAGCAAAAATGAGGTTTGACTGAAAAAGTAGCAATTCTGTTTTAAAATCGCAGCATCAGCTCTTGACAAAGAGTCTCCTTGCCATATGTTACATCCAATTTTTCTTTTTGCCAGTTCCTCCACAATCATGTAAACGCATTTCTTGGGATCACTCTCTTTCAGTACATACATATATATACACATATACCTATGTACACATATATTAATCTCTCTATACTTGTCTGTGTATAATATTCCTTTATATCTATCTCTATAATACATATATACTATCAGACATATATGTCTATACATATATATGTATGAATATATGTGTCTATATATGTCTATACATACATATGTCTATATATGTCTATACATATATGTCTCTCTCTCTCTCTATATATATATATATATATAGAGAGAGAGAGAGAGAGAGAGAGAGAGTGATTCTCTGGAGAACCCTGACAGATCTTACAAACTTCTTTCTTCCTGGGAGGTGGAAGCAGTTGGGGGCATCCTGCTCACGAGGAAGAAGAATGCATCACCGTTGGACTTCATGCCCCTGCCTTAGCGTATGTGGGCAGAGACGCAAGGTGAAGTGAGTTTCCTGCTCTAGTACAGCAAGAGGGTTTGTAGGCCAAAGAGCAAAGAGACTTATTTCCAGCAGGTCTCCCAGAAATGCCATCTGGCCCTGATTTCAGTGCCATCCCCGGGCTCTGCCCAAGCTTCTAACCCACCTCCTCTGTAGATACATGCACATGACTTCCTGAGGGAGGACAGGCCAGCAGCCCCCCAAAGGACCGCTAGGCTGAATTCCTCTTTGAAATCCTGAAATAGACACTCCACCTGCTTTATCTCTACTCTGACCCAACTCCCCGTTTGTTCCTAAGATTCTGTATAAAACAAAACTGAAGTTTTCCCGGTTAAAGATCAATAAATGTTGACAAAATTTCTTCCTTTGAAAAATCTCTGCAGCAGATGAACAAACCTTCCAAGCTCCATTTCATTGGCCCATTAATAATAACCTTAGAGTCCAGAAATAACTTGTCATCTGTGGTTTCCAATGCCTGCTCTCTACCATACACCCCATAAAAACTTCCCTTGCTGAAGTGGAGTTGGATGAAAGATGTTGCCTTTGTTTGCTGCCCCTATTAGTGTATCTGAAAGTGCTGCACTTTGGAAATATTAGAAAGAAAGAAGCGCCATGGGTCAGCAGTTATTTGCCAAGCCAAGGTAATTCATCTTATCAAAAACCAAACCTGGTGTCCATTCCACAAGCCCTGCTGTTCCCTTCAGTAGATGAGGTCATTAAGTGATGGGGCATTTAAGGACTCAGCGATTATAAGAGCTGGCAACAGTTAAAGGAAATAAAACCTAATTTTTAAAAATCATCCTAGCAAGCAGTGGTTTCCTACCATAAAGTAGCTCTCACTGTATCACACTATAGCCTTTAGGTTTCATGTTGAGATGTTTTGGGAATTGCTTTTCCTACTTAAGAATTTAAGGTTTCACATAAGAAAACTACAAAAGAAAGGAAGGAAGGAAGAAAGAAAAAACCTACAAAAGGACCTGGCATTGATTTCTAGAATTTGTCCAAAATGCAACCTTGATTGTGTTCCTGTAAGGGCTGGAATGGCCACAGTGCAGGTTCTCTGATCCCATGCAGACCGGGTAAAGGAGGAGTCAGAGTCCTCAGTGGTTTTGCAGGTTTTTTATTGGGATTCACCAGGCATATGGCAGGCAGGGGTGCTGGCTGGGGGGCTGGGAGGCTGGCAGGTCTTCACTCTATCTGGGCTCTCTAGCGTTTGTTCTGCTGCTTCTCGGCTTCTCTTTCGGCTCCTGCTTTGGCTTCTGCTGCTGCTGCTCGAACTTCTGCTGCTGCTGCTGGCGTCCCCGTGATGCCGCCCTTAAAAGCCCAGTCTTAGCTCAGCTGAATCCCATCTACCTATGCCCACACCCTATTCCAGGTGCCCGCCATCAGGCATGCATTCAGAACAAGGATCCATCATCTATCCTGATGGCGGAAGGGCAGAAAAGCCTGACATTTTCTTTACCCTACAGTTCCCCAATAAGTACCACAGCTACTGAGGGGCAGATACAGGATCTGAATTCCCTGCTCAAGTTCGAGACCTGTAAGCATTCTTCCCTTCACTCCCGTAACAGAGTCTTACTAAACACCCACCAAGTACCCGGGGCTGAGACATGAGGTACCTGTCTCATCACCTGAAGAAAGACCAAGGAATGGAGGCGGTAGCTGCCCAGATCTACCTCCCGCCATCCCAACAGGACGCAAAGTGACAGATGAAGTTTGCTCCGGAGGCTCAACAATTAAGAATCTGTGCCTAGATCGACTGCCCACAAGAAATACTACTGAACAACGCTACCAGCTTCTACGATCATTTCCCTTACAGTCCCCACCTCGCCCACCTGTTGCAGCAGTTCTGCTGTGGCAACGCCCCACCTGCGGGCACCGGTTCCTGAGCTATAAACCTAGGTACGAACATTTTGATGGTTTAAAATAATTTAAAAATTGTTGTTTGACCTGAAGTAGTCCCACACAGGTGTCTGTGGTTGACTGGATCTCTTGGGTAGTTTTTCTCGCCATGATGACGCAGGAACCCAGGCTGCTTTCCTTTATTTATTTATTTATTTATTTATTTATATTGAAAATAACTTATTATTTTTATTTATCATAGATCTCAAGTGACATGCATGTGCCCTTGGTATAGCTGAGGGGTTAGGCAACACCTCTTCTTTTTTAAATTATTATTTTTTAAATTTTATATATTTTTTACATCATTTTTGCACAATGTATTCATTTTCATCTTGGTTATATTCCCCATACAATTCCCACTCCCCTTATTTTGACCCTGATCCCTCCTCCTCTCTCCCCCCCAGTGTGTTTCTGGTTTATAGTTGCTTGCTAATTTTTACTTTATTATACTTAGTCTTTTTCCTGGTCCCTTATTTAGGTTTTCTAGATTCCTGCTATGAGTGAGACCATCCTGTATTTTTCTTTTTCTTTCTGGCTTATTTCGCTGAGCATGATCCCTTCCAGCTCCATCCATGTTGCTGCAAATTGCATGTGTTTATCTTTTTTGAATGCTGAGTAATATTCCATGGTATATATGTACCACGTCTTCTTGATCCAGTCATCTATTTTGGGCATTAGGGTTGTTTCCATAGCTTAGCTATTGTAAATAGTGCTGCTGTAAACATAGGGGTGCAGGTGCCCTTTTGAATTAATGTTTCTGTGCCCTCTGGGTAAATACCTAGGAGTGGACTTGCTGGATCATATGGAAGCTCCATTTTTATCAGGTTGAGGAACCTCCACACAGCTCTTCATAGTGGTTGGACCAGTTTGCACTCCCACCAGCAGTGCAGGAGAGTTACCTTTTCTCCACATCCTCGCCAACATTTGTTATTGCTAGTTTTTTTAATATGTGCCATTCTCACTGGTGTGAGATGGTATCTCATTGAAGTTTTGATTTGCATTTCCCTGATTACAAGTGATGCTGAACATTTTTCATATGCCTGTTGGCCATTTGCATTTCCTCTTTGGAGAAGTTCCTTTTTAGCTCTTCTGCCCATTTTTTGACTGGATTATTTTCTTTGTTTTTTGTTGAGTCTCTTCAGCTCTTTGTAGATTTTTGTGATCGTCCTTTATCATTAGTGTTAGCTGAGACCTACATGCCCTAAAGGAGGAATTTCAAAGGAGGGTCAGAGCTTCCTTAAACAAAGGACAAAGTCCATTGTAGGGTAAGTGGAAATGTGTCAGGCTTTTCTGTCCTCCCACCTTTAGGATTGATGACGGATCCTTGAGGTCCTGAATGCATGCCTGATGGGGGCACCTGGAGTAGGGCGTGGGCATATGTAGATGGGATTCACCAGGGCTAAGACTGGGCTTACAAGGGCAGCATCACGGGGAAGTCAGCAGAACCATGAGAAGCAGCGAGAAAGAGAGCGAAAGTGAAGCAGAGGGGTGAGGACCCACAGCCAGGAACCCGTTTAATATCGGGGTTGCTCTATAACAAGACCACCAGAGAACACTGGGAGAGCCCAGAAAGAGCGAAGGCTTGCTGGGAGCTGGGAGGCTGGCCCCCTGGCATCCCTGGCCTGCCATGTATCTGGAAAATCCCAATAAAAGCCTTCAAAAGCCACCGAGGGCTCCAGGACTCTTCTTACCCAGTCTCCTCGGATCATAGACATCCTGCGCTGGCCCTTCCTGCCACTACATTTGAGTTAAGTT